AGAAGCTGTTCACTGCTGACAGTTTCAGTTGTGAATCGTTCTCCTGATCCCTGTCGGTGACGGTGAAAGTATTTCTTTCGTCAATTGTCGACTGACCAAAATTACTTTAGGTCAGAAGTAAAGCCCTTCGTAAATTCTGTAAGCTTTATTTTAGTGATCTTATGACAAGAATATAAGTCTAAGTGAATTTTCAAGCGAGTTCCGCTTGGATGTTGCAGTTTGATGCGTCGGATCAGACCGACGGTCATCGAAAAGTGTTCGAAGGGGATTCGGTGTCACGGGAATAATCGAGAATCCAGACGAAACGAGGGGGAGGTAAAGAAGTCCGGATCGTGGAATGGAATTGAAAAGAAAGGAGCCAAAGCCAGAGGACCTCGAGGAAACTCCAGTTCTCTGGACGATCTGTAAAACGGGTGTCCCTCGAATATTGACCACAAGTTTGCTCGCTATAATTCGGTACTGCGCGGATCAGCTACCGGAAAGAATGACCCTGGGCTGGCTAAGAATCCTGGCCTCTGTGCTGGTGATCGTGATGCCGCGATCCTTCACTTACGTTCTCCTGTATCCAATTTTCAGATTAGTGTTCGGCAATCTGTACCCGGCCTACGCTTCGTATAAAGCGGTGAGGACGAAAAACGTGAAAGAATACGTGAGTATCAGAGAGCGCACGCTGGGAAAACTCCAAGTATTCTTGACTTCTCCGTTGCCTTCATTATTGCCGATTACATTTGATGATCCTAATTAATAGCGCTGGCTCGAACGGTAGCTTGGAAGCGAGTTCGAACCAAGCTCATCGATAACGCTTTGACCAAACATAGCGCTTCTATGAAAGCGTAAACTTCCCTCGAGCAAATATTTGTACTACGGGTGGATAGCTGTAACGGGCTTTCTTTCTTAAAAACGAAGGACTTATCTTGAAGGAACTTTGGATCGGAGAATCGCTTCCAAGCTAAATTTTACGGATTCGAGAGCTGGAGTGAAATAAATGTTCCTCTGGGATGGAATACAAGTTCTTCAATAGTAAAAAAAACCGAAAATGAAACGGTTTGTGTTAATTTAATTTTTCATTTGCAGGTAAAATGGATGATGTACTGGATCGTGTTTGCGCTGTTCACGTGCGCGGAGACCTTCACCGACGTCTTCTTTAGCTTCTGGTGAGCAATATGCCCGTTCTAACTCCTTTCTTTCGATTATCGAAGAAATGTACCGCCTTCTAAACTCAAAGAGATCCATGTGAATCTCACTTGTAGAAGAAATTGTCCTCTCGACAAATATTAGAAGCTCATACATGCCGTTCTATTTTCTATTTGTTTGCGGTGAAAGTGAAATTATTCAGCATATGAAATAGGTGAAATACACGATCCACAACTGTGTTTACTCTTTGTAACTTGTTGATCCGAGGAGTTCTCGCAATGAAATGATCAGGGGGCGAGGAACCGCGATTGCACGCGTTACTGGGATGGAGAGGGTTGAAGTAACTGGCAGCCTCTCGGTCATGGCCCCGTTTTCGCCGGAAGCGAGTAAAATCCGAGCGAGCCGAGGCCAATAAACCGAGGTGAACCGCGTGATCCGAGGCCCGCCACCGGGAATTCCGAAAGTCTAATTTCGGCCGGGATGGATATTGGCTTACATGCACTTCTGAGGATTCTACCGACGTTCTCGTCTTCCGTCTCTGTTTCTGGTGTTCCTCCCTGCTGTGCCAGATCTCTCCCTTCATAACGGGTTACAACCAAAAAGGAGAGCTCGTGTATTTCTGGCCGGGAATCCTCTCTTTCTCCCTCTCTCTCCCATCTCTTCCCTTTTTTCATGTCCGGCGTCCACTGGCCACAGTTGGCCACTACCCTAACAGACACGATTTTTCCTCTTTCTTTATTATTTCACCCTCGATGGCGAGACTTCGTGGCATTGTTACAGAAGGTGTTTTGGAAAAGAAAAATTTTCCTCGAGAATCAATTCTATGTTCAGAGTGATTAGGTGTGATTTTATAATGATTCACCCGGGGTATGAGGGCCATTTCGGCCGCGTAACGACTACTTCTTTTTACTCTTTTCTCATCTAGGTTTCCTTTTTACTATGAAGTCAAGACCATCCTAGTGATTTGGCTACTCAGCCCAGCCACAAAGGGCTCGAGCATCCTCTACAGACGTTTCGTTCATCCAGCCTTGATCCGCCGCGAGGCTGAAATCGACGAAGCTCTGGCACGCGCGACAGAGCAAGGCTATACGGCAGTCTTGCATCTTGGCTCGAAGGGCGTCAATTACGCCACTACGGTTCTCATGCAGACCGCCATCAAAGTAAGCTCCGGGCCTGAAGTAATCGACACTCCCTTATCGATGTTGTAATAACGAAGGTGATCGTATCGCTCGAGGAAGAATTAATTGAAGTAAACAGGGTGATTCAACTAACTCGATGAATTAACATCACAGAATAATTGCCTATTATTCCTCGCAACGAAACGATCTCTGATCCACGTGTTCATGTAAAATCCTATCCCTGAAGCTTCAACAACCGCTTCGACGAGTCTCCCGCTAATTACTCGATATTTTTTCTTGATTTTATGTTTTCATTGTCCCGCACGCCTATCCTGCCCGCCGTCACCGCTTCTAATCAAACACCAACGTGATCGACCAACCACAACCACCACACAACATGTCGTCTAACCACTGCCATTCATCGCCGTCCCTTTTTAATAATCAACCATCGTCGCTTATTAAAACAAACAAACAAAAAAAACCATCTACCATCTTGTCGTACGTGTTGTATCGATCTGTATAACAATCAAACATCACTCCATGACACCTCGTGTGTCTCTCTGTGTACACACCGGGGGAAACAAAAAAAAAAAAAACACGTCGGAACGCGGGGTCCAGCACTTGCTGGAGCAAGATCAAATCGTGATGAGCGAATTGCCAGCGGTACAACAGGCCTCGGCGATTTCTAGCTTGGACAAGCCTCTTCCAGCAACCTCGACACCCAAGAGGGAGACGGATCAGCTGGACAGCGCCGCGACGACCAGCGGGTATCTCCGGAATTCAAGCAGTAGCTCCGAGGAGTCCGTCCTTGTCGAATCTGTGCCCAGCCTGCAGGAGAACCTGAGCACGGTAGACGAGGTGATGTTCAAGGTCCCTGAGCCACAGAAGAAGACCCAGAAGACACGAAAAGCGAAAAAAGAACGAACTACCAGCACCTCCAGGCGACTGAGGTCACGCGCTCGAGAGTTCGATTACGCAATCAGCGACGATGACTCGGAACAGGCGAACAATTGGATAGATTATTCCTAAATGATCAAGAGATAGGAGAAATCGTCGAGGAAGAGTCGAAGTTACCGGTTAGGATTAACAATTAACATTGTTAGATCTATACCTATATCTCGTGGGGGGAAAGGTTAGGTCCAATTGTATGTGTGCGTTTGTTGAAAATCATAGAGTGCCGATTTTCTATGTCTTTTAATAGTTTTTTTTTTTAACGATTGAAGTAATTCTAAGAGAGATGTTAACCCTTTGGGTGGATGGTAAAGCTAAGTGTTTACGCGATGATCATTTACAATTGTACGAACTGTAATTTTAACTTTTCAACGTTAAAATTATTGATCGGAGACATAATCTCGGATTTGCCAAGACCCTCTAGCTAACCTTAGGTGAACATTGTGAAACTATTACTGTGTGTCTTTCTGCAAAGTCTGCGATTTGTACTCTTTGTTATACCACTTAGGATTAAGGGATAATCTCGTGTCGTTGACCACGAATCGTGATAATTTTAGTGAATCGTGAATAAAAAATCGGTGCCTTAACGATGAATTCTTTGAGACGCGAAGATTCTGTCGATATTTACGATAACCTGATAAATCTCAGTTTATTGTTGCATACAATTTTTTACGAAATAAATATATAAAACAGTTCTGTCGAATCCTTTTTCACGAGTAACAAGAGTGTCGGTCGAGTTTACCTGTTATTTCATTGCCGTAAGTTTTATACCGTCGAAAAGACGGTGTAATGCGCACACACCTGTTACCATCTCGATCGTACACTATACCTTTTGCTCGAGCACAATCTTCGAAGAACATCAAATAGCACTTCGGAAGACCTTAGCTATAATTTTTACAATTATAACAGTTGTTAAATCCTGCACCAGGTTGATGTTAAAGTAACGCAAAATACCACGAGGAAAAATCTCTTTTGCTTTACTTCTACATTCATGATGCATCTGTTAGAATCCCTGCGAATTTAGGAGGACCTAGTAGTGTGTCATCGAAACGCTTAGAGAGTAAGACTTTTTATACTCGATCCAAAGATTTTACGCAACAATACTATGATATGTTCGTTTCACTTTTTTTTTTGCTCGAATAAATGCATATTCTATCGTACAAGGTCGTGCTGTTGCTCCTCTCTTTCATTTCTCTCTCTCTCTCTCTCTCTCTCTCTCTCGCTCGCTCTCTGTCTCTCACTCTTTCTCTTTTACGTGGACGATCATTCGCGCCGATCGATTCCTCTCCGGTTTGAATCCCGTCTAACGAGTTGGTCCAGTTAATCAAGAGAGAACCCGCTTCTATCGCGTGGACACGCGGAACGTTAGCCGTTACCCCGTGCCAGAATCCAAGTCGGAAAAGAAAACGCAAGCCGGATAGGCGAGAGAGACCGCAACTCGTTCACGTTGTCGAGTTCAAGCTAGATCGATCGCAAAAGACGCACGACAGATCGATACGCACGCCCCGGTGACGGCAGATAACACATTAACACCTTTCTCCGGGTTAGTAAGAATTATTTTCTTTTAATTTTACTTTATCTTCGTTATTTTTCTTTTTTTTTTTTTTATAGAATTTAATTTCTTCTCTTTCTCTCTTTTTCTTTGCACTGACACGAGCCTAGCCTAACAACTGATCATGAATTGTGAACATTTCGAATGGAGAGTAGATGAAACGAAAAAAATGGAGCAAAATGGTTTTTCAGGGCGGTGGCGGCTTGGTGCAGCAGTTGAAGAAGAGCTACAGCCTGAGCGACCTGACCGGCGAGAAAGAAGACGAGAATAGAAATACGCCACACATGCACGACGAGACGGATATGGAAGGTTATTGACCGATTATAGCCCTACCGATTCTCTTGAATTTTCTACCCTAAACAACCTTTATCATTCCTCCACTATTTCATTCTTTCCTAGCTAAAAGAAATCTGTGTTTTGGAATTCTCCTTGATATCGAAATTTTTGCTACGATTTACAGTGGAGCCTCGTCGAAGGGAACACGTCGGTAGAAGAGGGTACAGTCCTCGTAGGACACAGTCGAGCAACACCCGAGTAGAGATGTATTTCTCCGAAGTGGACGTAGACGTTAGACAACCAGCATCTAGGGAACCAACTACTAGCCTAACGTGTGTACCTCGCCTTTCACGAATAATTCACTGTTTACGATTAGAGATGTTACTAGGAAGACAGATTGTTCGTTGTTGGTTGCAGTAATATAAGGTCCTCGGACGACATATCGAGCGGATACGGCAGCAGGGAAGCGCTGCAGTCCAGTCGTACGTCTCAGGGCGATTCGTTAGTTCGAACATCGAGCGTCGGTGCAAAAACACGAGCAAGAACAGCACGCTCCGCCACGAAGAAGACCCCAGAGGTACTATGTTCAACCGTTCGAATCCGTATAAGAACGTAAATCAAGGTTTAATTCCGCGCGCAGAGTCCCAATTTGTTTTTATCCAACTGTTCCAGTTTCAACACTGACTGACGCGATCGCTAAGGTAGAATATTTATTCAAGTTTGATCTATCGTGCTAAGAATTAAACCTTGATCAGGATGAATATCTTCGCGAATTCTGACTTCCTTGTAATATACATTGATTTTTATGGTATTTGAAGGACTCAGGAGAGGATTCCGACAGCATCGACCCTCCTTTCTCCAAAAACATCTCATTTCCGACACCTTTAAGTCTTCTGACCCCCGAACAAGCTCTCGAGTTCTTGCTTCTACTCTCGCAAAACAGTAATGTTGCCGATTATATCAAATTCGATCGTGACTCCTTTGTCGCAGGTAACGAGCATCTACTCGAAAATACCAGTCAATCAGGCCCGGAACTAGAGCAAATAAAATCAAAAGAACTAAAAGATAACTCGTCAGGCACTGTACTAACAGCTGAAGTTCAAGTAATTCAGAGTATAGAAACAAAAGCTGTTCCTGAGCAATCGTCAACCTTAGAAAGATCAAATGATAGCAAAGACACGAGTAACAGCACCCAAATTAAGCAATCTGAAGTAGAAAAATACGAAAAGCCTGAAGAAGTAATCGCAGATGAAACTTCTACGGTTTCTAGGGTAACAGATGAACTTTGTCAGAACAAATTCGACGAACTGAAACAACTCTTAAGTAATGCTCACAAGGCTGTTAACAACATAGTTTACACTCAAGAAAAATTCAAGAAGAGCAACACATCCATCCCTGAGACATTGTCTGAAAAGAAGGAACCTTCTGAAAATGTGGATACTCAGAAAGGTAATGAAAATGAAAGTAACGAAAAAGAAGGTGTCTCTAAAGGCATCAAAGCGTCTTTAGAAGAACCGGAAATTGGTAAGAATGATGAGATAAACACGGTAGAAGAGAAGAAAAGTAGCACGTGCTTGGACACTTGGACAGATCCAAACGTGTCGCGTAGCAATTCCGACAGCTTGGGTCGAGCTGGCAGATACAACAAGAGGCCCGCTCCGAAAGTACCTATTGCGAAAAGCGAAGAGAACTTGAACGTGACTGATACTCAGAGCGCGTTGAAGGCCACTCTAGTAATTAAAACCGGAACCTTAAAGACCTTCTCAAACACTGGCACGACGAAAGACGTATTTATCGCTCACGCGACAGAGAAACTCAAGGGGAAAAAATCCAAGCGACAACGTACCAAAGAAGGCTTCTCCAAGCTGTTGACTATCCCGAAAAATATCTTTCACAATGCTTTTTACAGGGAACACAAGAGTTCTGCGAAGGCAGAAGACTCTTCTTCAGACATCAGCGCAGACCAGAGCAGATCGAACAGTATAGAACCACAGGAAACGATCATTGAACTCGCACCGAACTCTAATCGAGAAGCAAACGTTCAGAATGACGATAAGAGTGATAACGATACATCTAACAGCTCAGATACTTATATACTCGCATCAAACGACAGTGAAGAAGATAAGAGTGAAATTCAGAAAGAGAAAAATGTTGAAATGAATAATGAAGAAAAAATTCTGGCAACAAACATAAAGCCAGAGATAAGAGAGTTGTCTCAGTCGCCAAAAGCTGTCAAAATATTGGAATCTGATATTTTCTAATTGCTGTTTATTAAGATATAAGAGTTGGACGGGTCTCTTTGACTGGTTTTCGTAGACAAATTTAAAAAAACACCTTTGTCACCAATCCTTCCTCATCCTCCTCACCTATTATACTAGACACTTTACTGTACTGGAAACCTGAAGAAGAAAACAGGAATAATTCGTTCATATCGTATGGAAATGGTTTCTAAAGTGTTTTGTGATTCGTTCTTTTAGTCCACTAATCAATCGCTTAGCGAGCATTGCGCTCTAAACATGCATGTCTTTCAGTCGTTAACAGGATAATATTGCCATAAAAGTTAACTGTTGCTTTTGAAGGAAATCTACTTTGTCAAAAGAAGTTCACGTTAATTTTGGTCCCTGTGTCGTGACAGTGTGGTGTGCAATTTGTCATCAAATTAAAAAGTGTGCCTGCCTTTTTTATTTTAAGTCAAAGACCCGAAATGCTTTAAAAATCGATGCACCAAAAAATTGACCAGTTGAGAATTGAAAGCATTTTACCCTAACTGTTTGATGTTCGATTACACCATTGATGAAATGTGATTCGTTTCTGACTTTCAGATAACAAGCTTCGCTACCCTCCCCCGCAGCAAGAAGACAACTAAGAAGAAGGTGGCATGAAATTTAGGGACGGCTGCTGATCACATCAAGGAATAAAAAGATCATTTCTTCGAGTGCGATTGATTTGAATCTAAACGCAACTGCTCGGCCAAGGTGCAGGCAATTTACGAGATCAGCAGCGGACGTAAAATTGAGGTGATGCATAAATGCATAAACGAGATGGTGTCCTAGCACTAGCGTTACTCAAATCGTTTGTACATAGCTCTCTTATAATGCAAACGAAATTCAATCATCAATTATGTTTCGAGCAGACCTGGTTAAAGTAGTAGTTACAAAAGAAGAACACCTTTGATCCATCACTTTCCATTGAATTGAATTTAAAAAAAAGAAAAAAAAAAAAGAAGCAAATGCTACTGTACAATTAGTTGATCATGACGGATCACTATAACACAGTTGCTCACGGTCATCCAAAATGGTTCTTAGATGTTATGCTTTCGATTGCGTGTTCCCAAGACTCGTGTGTAACGTCGTTTAAGTCAACAGTAAGGTTCGATCGAGTTTTTATATGTATAATAATAATACTAATAATAATAATGATAATAATATTAATTAACGATTATAAGAGAGAAGAACTTGGTGCTTACTGCACTCGATCAGTGTTGCTTACGATTAAGCATAGATTACGCCGATTATCCAACAAAATCGCATGGAATTCCGTTTCTAAGCTTTTTTCTAAACTGTAGGTTTTGGCGTTTTGTAAAAACCGATTGAATCGTTGTAAAAACAGAGAAAGAAAGAAAGTTATGTATTTCACGTGAAAAGAAATGAATTCTAGTCAAAGAAAACAAAACGTACTCAGGCAACTCTCGACTAGTGCCACTGAACTTTCTATAATTTGTCTATAACAACCGTAGTTAGCAGTGATTTTGGTGGCGTGCGTTGAAAAAACTTTAAAATCACTGTATGAAACGGGTCATCGCTCTTTTTTCATAGATAAGTAGAACTCGAAGTGCTGCAAGTATATTTGTAACAAACGTAGATAACTTACTAACGGTACCGTTCACGACCAAACGACTTGTACGCAATTGCGAGACACTATTGAGGTTTAGCATGGCAGCCCTTCACTTTTCTGCACTTTTTTTCAAAGGTGTAGCGAAGCAACAATCCTCTTGAAAACTTGCACTTTTCTTAAAGTTTGCGTTTCGCTAGGCCTCGAAGGGAGCAACTTTGGCGCGACTAATCGAACCGTATGCGAAACCTCATGAGATGTTGAGACCCGGTGCGTGATATATTTTGTTTGTGATTTTTCAACTAGAACGCGTTGACTCTCGTTTTAAGAAATCGTTTACGCTTTAATTTGCGCGCATGGTGTAGCGTGCCAAGAATTTACGCACAAGTGCTGTAACTATGTACTTCAAAAGAGAATCGTGATTACTGACGTTATCAAATTCGTACATATAGTTTATTCATGCTGCGCTCTAATGGTCATCGTAAACCTTGGGCAACAATTATCGAGATGTAATATTATGCATCAGTTAAGAATTTGTTGTACGTATATAATTGTTGATTTTCTTATGCACGTTCTTTACAATGTTCACAGCTGAATCACCAAAAGAAAATGCAGCTAATGCTAAAGGCGAAGGTCTTTTTATTGTTTATCAATAAAACAGTATTTACATACACGTAGAGAATGTAAAATTGTAATTAGAGATAAATGGAGCTTTAGCTTTCGATTATCCAAACGTTCGTGTAAATGTTTCTTAGCGCGTCGATAACATCATTCGCTGCATTTTATCGGTAACACGTCGAAATTTGAATCTCGTCGAAAAAAGCTAATCAATTGTAATTTCTATGTATCGTTAATCCTTAGCTACCTTAATATTCGGATGTGAATGTTCGTGTGCGTGGAAAAGACAGAGTGGGAGAATTTAGAGAACATGCTCAATCTTAAGAGATTTTAGCCCGTTTTACTTGATGAGAAAAAGAAAAGCTCCTAGACTCATTACGGTACCTCTCGATATTGTTCGAGCTTTGTTCTTTGTAATCATTGAGCCTATTTGCGGTGCACCGGTTTGTATGCCGCGAAAACTATATGGTGCTGCGATACTTTTTCAGTTGTTTTATAGTTATCTACCCGGTAAGGCAGCATAAGGAAAACGTGTTCCGAATTGTAGAAAAGAATACCGGAGAATCTTTATGGAAAATATAGATAGATCGGTTAACAGTATTTCAGTTTAAGTATGTCTGTAGTCAATAAAGTGACATTAAATGCATTCCAGTGTGAATTTGTTTGAAATATTCATCGTTCGAAATTGTTTTAAGTGTAAGCACAGAAAAGGTATAAGATAGACTAATCACCTTATGGAACTTTGTATCTCACGTTCTAAAATATCGATCGTATAAAAAAATCAGAGATTTTGTTATGCTCTCTGCAATTTAGAGTGGTGAGTTTAGGAATTATATTCAACCAACAATCAAAAACAGACTCAACAAACGTAAAAGATACTCTCTTGTTAAATCCACATATGTATAAAGATACATACATATATTAAATTGCATAGTTAGAACTGTTCACGATCTTTTGACAACAGTAAAACACGCGCATGGGATAAATCACCTACTAATAAAAAATTACGTTATCTTCTTATTTGTAATTTCATAGCTACGTTTAGTTCTAATTCCAACCGCTACTTATGTTGTAATTTTATTCTATGCTGAATCGGTAACGTTAGAAGCAACATGCAAATGGTAAGGACACTTACAGCCCTCCTGACGTGGGACAAAAAATGCATTAGGTGACAGTTCTATTCTGTACCTCATCTGTGGTGTAAGTATCTAAAGTAACATAATGTTAAATGAAAAATATTTTGTGCAAAATATAAAATAACTTGTCTATACATACATATATAGTCTACAATAAAGGAAAGCACATTTTTGCTGAGATGCAGATGGTTCCATACAAGCCTCAATCTATTCATCTTTTCAATTAATTCGATATTCATATTATATATTTTACTGTACATTACACTTTAAACATAACTAATAACTTTTTTTGTTACTGTGTTCACGGTTTTATCAATTTCAAGCGCAACAGGAGTAGCACCGACACACTTTCAAATTCACGTTTCGAATAAACTACGTAGGCTACTTTGTCAACTGACTGCATAAATGTACTTCCTGTTATGTCGGTAATATAGATTTATTTTTTCTTTGTCAGTTACAGTAGTCCCTTGTAAATTAGTATTACTACTTAAAAAATAATTATGTGTATACGCAATGTATGTAATTATAATTATTTCAATTGTAACATAATATTTAAAAGCTCATCTGTACTACGATTACTTTGTATTGAACGATCAATATGGCGACTTCCACAAAATAGTGTATAAAAGTGATAGACTTTTTCAAGCTTCATAATAAATTTCATTAAAAAGTGCAACTGCTTATTCTTTTTATTTTTATGCCCATTTCTACACAATAAAAATAGATGATATTCATATTGCATGAAGTGAACTTATTATTATTTCTGTGTTTTTCATGAAACTCATGTTTAGTACTAAACATGTGCATCCGATTTCTAATAAATTACAAATTTTAATTAATGCCTTTAATAAAATTCTGAACTGAAAAACATGATATTTGTTGCTAGAATAATTTATAGCCGTCGTTTGATTTGTTATAATTTATCTCCTTTTAATCTTTCAAAACTGACTCTATCATTACTGCGTAATATACGTATTTAACGCAGATTTTAAATAATCTACTAAAATATCCATTCAAATTCAAAACTTTTTTCTCGTTATACTTGTTAGTTTTTTACTTTATCTTAAGATAAAATAGAGTTATCCAATATGTACACAGAGTATATAATACCGCTTTTTTTCAGTTCTTAATAAAATGAGCAAACAATGCATGTATAATTTGAAACATTGAAACCGTGGAAATATTTTTTTAACATGTTACATCAACGTGAATTATCGGGGGATAAACTACTTTTTCAACTCTTAAAAAACAGAAGTCCAACTGCTAGCAACATATGTGAGAAACTGGTATTTATCAATGCATAAAAATTGCACATTTTATTGATAATGTATGCTTACATCAAGCTATAATTTATACATGTATTTTGTTTACATATCAGTCAGTTTTTGTGATAACCTTTGTATCAAATTTTTGAATAGTAAGGTTTCTTTAAATGTAGTATAATGTAATAAGAAAGTTATTTATAATGAATTTTTATTTTAGAATCACAATGTGAAAAACATTATTTTGTTATCTGAAGATGAACTTTGTGAACTATGGCAGCATATGAAAGTTATATTATTAGAAGCTCAAAAGTTAGATGAACTAACATCAAATAATAGAGACAAATATGTAAAAGTAAGATCATTTACATAAATTTAAATAGTTTCTGATTTTTTTTTACATTCTTATATATAATATATATGTGTTTGTGTGTGTGTGTGTATATGTATATTTTAATTTCAGGAATATAGTCATATGATTAAATTAATACGTACAATAACTGCAATTGCTCTTGAAACCATTGTGCAACGAATATTTATACCTAATGTTCTATTAGAAAACATAATATTATTACATTCTGTTGTATTACCCACTATAAAAGATGAGCAGGTTAGTATTTTATTATCATATAATGTTTCTTTTATATTTACTTTTTCTGAGTAACTTTAAATAAAAAATCTTTCTAAGGCCAAAAATGAAATATCGTATCTGTTGGAAAATTGGTGGAAATTAGACATGACATGGAAAGAAAAAGTGATAATAAATGCATTGAAGTACCTTATTCAGAACTGCAATTCTTCATTGGTAATTATACTTTAAATAGATGTAAATAATGTTGAAGTGATTTATTGATGGATTATGTTTTTAGGAAAATATAAAACGTTTATATCAGATAAGGTCTACTATCACATTACTGAAATGTACAGAAGATGTGCAAGAATTGCTTAAACTTGTTCGAGAAAAAACTGTGATGTCACTTGAAGAAGGTCGAATGTTGATACTGCACTTGTTTACACTTGGAGAGCAATATATATTGGTATGAGTTATAATTGCATATTCAGATACTAGTTTTGTATTACATTTAAAATTGATTTCATAATTGTTTCAGGGAATTCATAATAATGTAAGGGTTGTGTTACAAAATATTGAACATACTTATATTGCTGCATATGCAGATTTGTATGTAACAGCATGGTTAAATGCAACGAAAAAATTAAAAAAATTTATCGTTCAGAATTGTTTGCAAAATATTGTTTTTCATTGTTTTCGAGCATATAGAGATTCTGGAGGCAGGGGAAAGCTTGGTCAAAATTTGTTTTCATTTCTTGCTGCCATACATGATAACAAACACCAAACAGCAAAGTTAATGATTCACAATCAATGTAAACCTTTACTTTGGAAACACTTGGAGGTATTAGTAAAGAGTTTATATGCATATACACATAACTTGTGACTAGTATTGAATAAACTTTTTGTCATAGGCACCTGGTTCTTTCATTAGATGTAATGCAGTAGAAATTCTTTTCATGACAAGTTCTGTGCAATATACGTGTGTCTCAAAAGACAGAAACAAGATTTATATTCAAAAATTTCATCAAACAGTAACCAATCTTTTAAAAGATTCAGATTCTAAAGTGTGCATTATTACCATGAATGTAAGCTAATTTATATTCACAATCTGTTGACTGTCTTAACATTTCATAATGCATTTTTATTTAATCATTAATATTTCACAAATCTAAACATCTTCAGGGTCTTTTTAAAATGCTAGAGAAACATTGGACTTGCTTTCCAAATAATATTATTCGCAATTGGTTAAACATTTTACTACACTATACAAAAAATGCCAGCAATTACAAAATAAGAGCAAACGTTTTTATTGGCTTAAAAAATGTATTGGTTAAAGGACGTTCTCAGAAAATACTTAAAGATTTTCTACCAAATTTTGCAAACAGCATTTATGATGATAATAAAACAGTATTAGAAGAGTTAATCAAACTTCTTTGGCATGCACAAAACGAACTTGGAATGCCGTTTTGGAATATAGTGCCCTTGTCCTATATTCTCGATCGTTTAGAGGTACACATGCAACTAAATAATACGTAAATATTTACAAATGCAAACAATATGGAATATAACGTTTTGTCAACATTTTTAGACTACTCAAGATATGTTTTTATTGCGAGAATTAATAAAACTTGTTTGGTTACGCGTATCTTCGAATGGTGCACAGTACGATAAAATAAAAGATGAAATAGTATATATAGGAATAAATAATATAAATGCTATTAGAAGGTTTTCTTTTCACTCTAAACCTGTTATAAAGTGGAATATGTCTACAAAACTTATTCAAACCATGTTACCTATAATAAAAGAAGAAATGGAATGTTTACCTTTGACGCAAGCATTGAAAACAAACAATAAAAAAGCTAAGCATAACCACCAGGGAAAGAAACAAAAAAATGGTAACAATATATGATTACACATAATATTAAATTTACACGCAAATAATTGTGTTCATTTTAGCAGACCGTATAAATAACTGCGATGAAGATATCGATAGCTATAGAGATGTACAGATATATATCGATGTTATTGCTATGTTATTAATAGCAAATGTTAAAAATATAGAGGAAGAAAAATTTTGTAAAGGAGAAATAAAAATTTTACAAGAAATTGCACATTCTCTGCCAGAATTTTTTAAATATTTTAAGGTAAATATTTACATTCCTTATTTACATTCCATATGGCCTTATCACACGTGATTTTTTTCAGGAAACTTCAATAAATGAATCAGTAATATTTTTATTTTCCTTGATACCTTCAAGATTCTTCCTGAATCAAATTGAGGTTATTGAAACATTAGTACAACAATTATGTAATCCTAATAGCTCTGATGATACACTTCTTACAATTATATATGTTCTCATAAAATGGAATAAAGGAGATACAATTTTGTTTGCATTAACGAACCTTTTTACTGAATCTTTAAACTTAAATACACAAAATAATCAGGTAAATATTACATAATAAACATATTCCTAGTAATATATTAATAGAAAATGTTTATTTCAGGGTGTTACTAATAATACAGATACCTTTCAAATTAATGGAAAAGGTTTAGAATTAAGTTTACGTATTTTGAAACATTTATTGCACGTTGAACATCGATCAGTTCTAATGAATAAGTATCATAAAGACATACTTAAATTTTGGGAAAATTTGCATGGACTGAAAATTTTTATAGAAAGGGAATTAAGTAACGAGTGCAATATAAGTAATGTAATATCCAAAGATGTAATTGTACAAATTTTTAAAGAATATATATCGATGATCTCGTTATTACATAAGAAAGATGTGTTCGATGCGTCTGAACATTTCTCAGATATTTTATTATGGGTTAAAAAGTATGAAAATCAGTTGTATATTTTTTTTGATTTTATTGCAATATTGTTATTGTTATTATATATTCATTTTTAATACAGGGTAATGGTACCGCACATCTCGTGTATAGATATGAATAATATAGAAAACCATCAAACTTGTATAGATTTAATAAAAAATACTTTTGATATATCAAATTTACTGTTGAAAGAGTACAACAGTACCCCAAAGTTATGTTGTGATATTGTACTTTTATACTGCAGTTGTTTGTCTCCAGTAAGTGGCATAATTTTTTTAAATAAGGCGTTTGATGCAATAATAATACTATTAGATTTTAGTCAAATGGCTTATGAAAAACAGGAACCAAATTTATTAAATATTGTTGTACCAAATTTTATATGTATGACAAATTACTGAATTGTCTCGTTTATTAATTACAGAACTTAAAAGTATTAAGTGAAATAACGCAAAAATATTTTCTTGTGATTAAAAATACTTTTAACGATCAAACGATGTATCTTCCATATATAACTATTATGGTTAATACTGCAATCAGTAGTCTAAGTACAGAATTGAGTCGTGTGTTGCAAGACATGCATGTGAGAAAGGCAAACATTTTAATTACCAAGTTTCCTTATTTAGCAAAAAAGATATTAAAAGTTATTTTAAATACAAAAAGATACCAAAAATTAAGTGTTCAAGTACTAACAAAAACAATAACAAGTTACACGAAAGTAAGTATATGTACATTATTTAAAATCTATTATTGATTATAGCTAACTCATTCATGAATGTATTTTAGATTGACATGCTATCTGCTCTTGTAGTAATATGTAAGATACTTAAAACAAGTGATAGAACAGTTATTAACAGACTTAAGAATATGACTTTAGCATCTAAAGTATACAACCAAAAACAATCTTGTGATACTCCTCTTGAGAGGTATTATTAATTTTTTATTTTTAAAATAATAATATGTTATTGCTAGTTATATGATAAAAAAAAAAACTAATTTTACCTTCCAGATCCATAAATGACGCAATCAACGTAGTTGCAGATACAATATTGAAACAATAATATATTAACTGCCATTTTGTAATTCCGTATAGATAGGCTAAATAACATATTATTTATTTAACAGGCAATGTATTCTCAGTATACTTAAATTTTGTATTATATACTTAGCGATCGAAATATTTCATACGGCTATATTTTTTGTTTGTATTATAAAGAGCATTTAGTTATATATTTTTATATAACACGAAAATATATTTTTTTATGAAAAGTAAAAGTACAAAAGTTCTAGAATTATTACTTACAAATTGGGACCTTGCACATAACTAATGAAATAACAATTCTAAAAAGATGTAATGTTCAACATCATAAATATATATTTCGTTTAAATCAAATAAATTTTCGTACAACAAATGCGTATTATTTGTGTATGTTAAATTTTTATATAAAAAATTTAAATAAATGACAAATTTATAATTACCACAGTTTGTATTTATTATAATTAAAAATTTATTTTTTTACCTCTACCTATTATTTACCCAGAGAATGTTATATTCCTCATCTGTCTGATACCAGCTACTACTCTGGCATTGCACCCTGAGCTGCCATTCTGATACTCTTCTGGTGAAAGTCTCAGTAAAACAGACATGTGTTGTAGATTTTCTGATAAAGATAGACCAAGTTCCTCTAATACATTGCCAAGGTAATCTATAACATGTATTGTATAGATGCAAAAAATGAAAAAAATATTTGTATATGCAATTTAGATCTGTATTAAACATACCTATATCAGTTGCAAGTTGCTTACATGCAGCAGAACTCAACTGACAAATTCCTAATGTTTGATCTAAAAACATTTGACATGTTCCTTTAGCAATGATATCTAGCAAAATTCCAGTAAATCCGGATTCAGTTGAACTTTGGGCATACTGTGGGTCTGCTGCTTTTAATGCTTGGGTGAGACTTGGATTTTCTCTAAGCAAAAATGGTTCTAAATGCTGTGGCAATGTCATCAGATATTGTCCAACTTGTGTTATATATTCTTGAGGTGCAAAACTATAATCGGGTAAATCTGCACTCAAGTGAGTCATTTTGTTAGCTTCTGTTGACCATGCTGGTGCTTTTTGCACTAATAATAACTGAGTGAAGATAGGAGCAAAAATTACTTCGTACGTTGCGCGATGTAAATCGGAACACAGTTTGTGAATAGACTTGATTATTGAATCAAGAATTGTTTCCTCTTCTGTAAGAATTAGCAATAATGTAAATAGTAAATGATAACATTGCGTTCTTATAAAAATTTATTTATATGAATCACCTCTCTGAAAAGATGCAACTAAGTTTTCTAACTCAGTTTGACTTGATGTATTTAAAAGTAATTTTTTATATTGATTAAAAACACTACCACTTGTACTTTGCAACTTATTATTAGCCTCAGTGATATCAGTTATTAAAGACTTTTCAAATTGTTGAATTTGCCCCAAAAGATCACCTGCGTACATTGGAATTGACCACTTTATTTGAAATTTACTAAAAGACCAAAAAAAGAAGAAAACAAATGCTTAATGTGCTACCTATAGTTTGCATTAAAGTAAGACACATTTGGAACAAATTCCAATCTTCATGTTTTACTTTTTTGCGCTCTAATTGCCATATAGCAGTTTGATATTTTTCATGATATTTGTTAAAGTAACTCTGTGAAAAAAAAAACATTTTACAGCACATGCTTAACAGAAATATTTTGTACCTAAAATTGTATTTCAACATACAATTAAAGATTTTAATAACCCTGGATAACCACAACCATCTGTAAAAAGTACTTAAATCATCTTGTACAGAGCTTATAGAATGCAATTGATGTTCAAGTTGGGCTGTTTCATAAACACTGTATTTTACAACATATGGAACATAAGGTGCATATATTGCTTGTGCTAATGACAGCAACTTTGAATTCTGCAATTTTCCATGCAATGTATCAATTGCACCTTGAAGATTTACTGCAAAATGTCTCGTAATTTGTTTAAGTTCAAGTAATAGAGACAATTGCATGGCATTTGAATGTTGCTTTAAAATTGCCTCTATACATTCTGGAATACCGGGATCTAAACTTCTTAAAAGATCAGCATATACTTCAACGATTATATCAGCTGAAGTATTTGGAAATACTTGATGGTACCATTTTACCTTTATTAAGATCATATTATTTTAACAAAATACTCATATTATGTATTTCAGTATAATAATGCTATCAAAATGAGAGCTACCTGATCATTCCAATTAGATAATAATTTGTCATAATAAGTGTGTAACCAGTAGGAAATATTTTCATCTTGTGCTAATTCAATAGTTTTGCGCCATTCTTGTCCTAATGACACCTTCAAACAATTGTGGTAATACTTAAGAAGCTGTGGTAGACGTTCCATTTTATTAAAAATATCCACATAAACTTTGGATTGCTCTAAATATTTTATTACAAACGATAAGGGATTATATTAAATGGAAATTTCATAAAATGGAAATATATACAATTTCAACTAATATAATTTACCTAAATTTGCAGCAGTAAATGCTTGAACTAATTTTGGACTAGCCATTGCCTCTAATCGATTTTTTAAACCTTCTAATTGTAATTTTTTATCTTCATAATCAATAACATTTACAAGCATTGCCAATGATTTTTGCATACTAAACAATTTATTTGCAATAGCTTCTATGTCTCCTGACTCAAATACCTGAAATATTAAAACATGAAGTAACATGAAGCAAAAATTTAGAAGGCTTCTCTTGTTTTTAATGTATATTATACCTCCTCAACATCATTGGCTAAGACACTCCAATTGTCAGCCTCGTGTAAACCTTCTTTAGCAGTCTGCAAATCTGTTTTTATTCTATCCATTCTTTCTAACGTTGCCATTGAAGAGGCGGTATCTTTTTCAACCTATTCAATAGATGTTATTGCTATCAGACTTATAGTAGTTTAATTATTTTTGGAGAAGTAATCAAAGATTAAAAAAAACCTTTTCTATTTCATGTTTAACAGCAACCATTTTTTCTCTAAGAGCTAAAGCTTCTTGTTGCAAAAGTTGTGTGTCCCTTAAAACCCTTGGCAAACTTGAAAGAACTGATTGACTTGTTTCCTCTAAGGCACCATTGACTTGTTGCACATACAATTGCAACTTCATTACCAAAGATGAAACGAATGCCTAATATCGTAATATGTTCAAAAAATGTTATTTAAACGATGAAACGAAAAATAAAAAGTTTAAAAATGCATAAAACAACATTGTTTCTTTTCATTCGAATATCGTAATGATTTCACGTTCGAAGGTTTATTTTGGCGGGAAATAACGACCAAAGAATGTCTAAATTACATTTATTTTTGTTTGATGATAGAATATTTTTATGTACGATATACTGAGAAAATGATCTTCGAAAGAGATACACGGTGTCATTGACCGCGGTACAATGGATGCAGTCAGTTTAGTGACTGACTGTACTTAGTGCAACTGAAATTCAAAAACTGTGTCGAGGAAAGAAAGAGAAGCCGCGCAATCGGGACCACCATAATCGTACGACTTACATCTTTATTTTCTTGTGCCTCAGTGGATTTGAATGTTTTGTTAATCCAATCTTTCACATCGAAAGTATCTTCGGAAAATGCAGATACATCCTGAAAGCGTCAGTTTAAGGTTAGAATCTCTTTAATTTTTCATTTCGAGAATTTTCTCAATTTTCCAAAAGACATAAGATTTTCTTGCACGTATTTCGCGTAAGCCAAGCGTAACAATGATTTTCTTCCGAAATTTCTAAATAAACTCAAATGTACAAACGACGTAAGAAAGGTTAAAAAAATACACTGATCTCCCGCTGCTTACCATGATAAAAATCGAATGGTGATGAATTCCAAAATATTTTCACGTAATAAATTGAGAATTACTAAACGTTCGTGATGTAGCCTTTAAAAAAAAAATATAAAATTTATTTTCCGTACGTTCAATTACTTTTTCGTTATCGCCGCATAGCGCAGAAGTGCTTCGCTATAGGACCGCACTTTGCTGTTGCACTTTGCGCATAGTTTCGTGACGCCGAAATCCAAAGGAACATTGGTAATCTCATAGCGAATTACGACGAATTAAGTAGTTTTTCGCGTATTTTCTCGTTACATCGTTGTATCAGTATCAATTATACATTCCCTCGAAAATCATAGTGTTTGCAACATACGATGGTCATACGGATCGATCGTGCGAATGTCGTAGAACATTTATACTTTGGAAACGGTCCACGGTTCTACATAGGTTAACGGATACCGTTTTATTCAGCGAGAAAATACGAAAATGTCGAGGAAGAAAAATGACAAGTACGCCGTGCGATAGGTTACATGTGAACGTAGTAACCTTTATACGAGAGAATCGAAGAGGAACGAGGAGAAACGTCGAAATATAAAACGAGTGCTCTGTTTCTTTACAATAATTATGATAAAACGACTTCTGTATCTCGGATTGCAGACGGATACTACGTGGAGAAAAGGCGTTTCACCCCTTCGCGATGATCGACTCGGTTTCGTCGTCGTGACACATTCCACGTCTCGGTATTCCGACGAACTGCCTACGAAGTGGTCGTAAATCGAAGAGGAAAAGGGAGAGAAAATGGAGAACAGCATGTTATCGGCCGCTTCCGGGCCCTTTGTTGATTGCCACGCCTCCGAATCTGCGTTTGCGCGTGACGATTTGCGCAACAGTTGGAAGCTGGAATTTTGCCTCGAAATAGCCTTTAGTCTGCCCGATGAAAATAAGGATAGCTAGCTAAGAGCGGAAACTGCAACAACTGTACTTTGCCCTTTTCTTTGCGTACGTTGAACGCATCGTCCGATTGAGCAAAGGCCTACCTCCCAGGTTTTGCTAGTACACACACACACACACACGCACATACACGTGTATGCATATATGTTTATATTTTTCTATGTTACAACACACTTACGAAATTATTACGTACGTATTATTATAGATTATTCAATATCTTATTTATGCTTCGATTTGTAATTACGCCATATTTTTCGTTACCATAAATCCAAGACGAAATCGAGTGGAAATTTCACGTTCACATGCGTAACAAGGAAATTATTCTTTCGCATAAAGCTGAACTTTATTACGGACGGCAATCAGGCTCAATCAGTAGAGCATATTAGAAGCGTATGCATTTAATGTCGCGTATAAAGTGCGTCGATCAGAAGTCCAATTTTGTAATCTTGCTGTGCACATGAATGCGTGGCCGCTGATAAATTGCCCTTCAATTCGACTAGACCAAGACTTTTTGAAAACCACCATTTAATTTACCCAATCATATACTAACACAGCAATGTCATTCTTCGTTTATTATAACATTGATTCGTTGTTTCTGTTCATATTAATATTGTTAAAAAATTGTTAACCATTATTTCATATTTAAATATGGTCAAATTTAATATTCATATTATGCAGTGTTGGTTCGATAATTTTCTATCGTATAGAACACCATTCATATCGTAGTCGAATGCAGCGATGTTTGTTGCAAAGTGGAAAAATTATAGAACCATCACCCTTATACGGAGAGATCATTGTACGTATGTATGTATGTACTTGATCCGAGGACGACTATGCGATGCAACGGTCTGTAGGAAGGGTAAGAGGTGCCCTCGGCCTTGAAGCTTGTACCAGCCAATCCCAAGCCTTTGTTCACTGACAAAGGGCACGGGATTGGCTGAATGTTCTCCACGGTACCAACTACTTCCGAGTGCTTCCGGTTGCGAGGACAGATTTCCCAAAAAAGCGGACACCCGGTGAGTTCATAGAACAGGTAACTACACGTCGACTTTCTTCTCTGTTCTTCTTTTCTCCATTTATTCCTCCACCAAGCACTACTCTTTCAATGCACTGCTGACATGAACAGCGCGAAAAAAAAAAATGGTTATCAATGCGAGATAACGAGCCAGTGAACGGGTTCGCATAATCTTTCTTCCTGTACAAAAAGGTACACGATTCGAGCGGAAAAAACAGTTTGCTTGGCTCTGATTACGCATTACGCGCTACTGTGTAGCACAGGGAACCGAATCTCTCATTGGAACGATCAATTAAAGAAACACGATTGTTCTGAAACGTTTCGTCCCTGTGACACACAGTCGGGAACGTGGAAAGTATTTTGTATCAGCCTTTGATATGGTGCTCGTGTTACATCTGGCTGCGATACGTTACATTGGACCAGCCGATCTTTTGCTCTGATTTATCTAGAACACACTCTTATGCACACATATACGCACACACCTATAGAAACACACTAATACGCTTCCAAGCTTTTGTCTTTATCAGCGCGTGCTCAACAAAACCCTTAGACAATTACTCACAAGATTCAGGGCGAGTACTTGTGTTTAGTATAAAAAACATCCTACTGCACGAATTTTTGCAAAAACTGCCTCCATCCACATACTGCTCTGTGTCACGTTGCATTTTCATTTTAATCATAACAATCCACGGAATACGATCACCTTCATTCTGTTTTCATTTGAGCACCTCACCTCTCTTCAATGAAAAACTTATCTGTTTGAAAGTTCCGGGAACAATAATAATCCCACGGTCGAATATGTAACCCCATTTTCCAATTCAGGTGGAAACTCGTGGAAACTTCCGAAAGACAATCAATGGCCTCGTCTGCCACTTTGCAAAGTAAACGTTTCCCGGAGCATGTTGGCGGATGAAATTAATGATCTTCTCTCAATCTCGTTTGATTGCGGCCCTTTTCTCTCGAATTTGCAAAGCCCGTATTTTACTACACCAAGATTCGTTACAAGAATTTCCATAGTATACCAGTAGAAACGAACGTTTCGAACGTGCAAGAAAGCAAGACTCATGCTCTGCAACACGATCGACCGTTCCAAGGTAACAGGTCCTTAACCTATCTGAGAATATCGAGAACCGCGAACAATCGTCGGGTCGCGAAATAGAAAAGAACGTTAGGTTTCCCAAAGATTTCTTCAAGAATTTTTAAAAGAAGTTTTCGCCCCCGAAGCGAGTATTTATTAAAGTAAATTGAAAATTGCATCGTCGAGGAGGATGCACAGAATGGATGGTATTTCTGTGTTGTGTACAAGAAGGATGAAATTATTCAGCTAGTAACGGCAGAGACTGTACCGAGTCCGCGCTACGCTTCTGAGAAAATAAACTCTCCCGCGCTTCTTCGGTTCGCGCAGAGCCACTTCCTTCGTGAATTCTCTTCCTCGAAGATCGAGTTGATTCGAATGGCCATGTTCTCTTCCCCCTGGGGACCATAAGGGGACGGAGCCTCTCAGCTGCGCAATTCGCGTTGCAGGAAGGAAAGAGAAAAAAAATGAAAAGAGAAAAGAGAAAAGAAAAAAAATATGTAGAGACGGTAAAAAGGGAAAAAAGGAACGAAGCGAACGGGATATCGAATTTTTTGCAGCCCCTCCTCGCTTTGCGCCTATATTGATTTTTAGAAATTCCTTGCGAGACGACCAAACGATTGAGAGAGCAAGGAAGGAAGAAAGGAAAAGAAGGAAAGGAAGGCAAAGCAGGCGGAAAAGAAACGGGGCCCTCCAGCTATCATGCGTTCTAGAGCAGTGCAGCAGCGTTTTACGAAACCTTTTAACGGGCAACGTCCGATAGAAACCGAGAACGTAATTAACTGGGAGAGTTATCAAGCACGGAGGAACGTCGTGTGTTTCGCGTCTTCGCGAAACGTCCGAACACAATTGTGTCGTCACGTTGGGGATTCTCTCTTTTTCTGTGCCATATTTCGAGGTGTTTTCTTCCTTCAGCCTTTCTGTACACGGAGCTGACAACGATGTGAACGAACGCTCCTTACATAATTCATTAATAGATATTCTTCTGTTTTTCATAAGCTCTCCTATCGCAGTTTATCTCATTCTGTGCGTGTTCAATTATGTTTTCACATATTCAATAGGTTTTTGTTCTCTGGAGATCTTGGGAGAGCATACCGTAAAATTTCAGCGAGAAATGGAAGAGAAAGCAGTTGTAAAATAGCGGAAATCGCGCTATTAATTGAACAATTTATTTTCTATGATAATAATATAGCGAGATAAAAAGCGGAGAGCACAAGAAGGGAATAGTTTGAAATGAACCGTTAAAAATTTCATCGAATAAAACAGGCGAAATAATAAGATAAGAGAGAGGGGCGTTATAGCAGTAAGAATGTTTACGGGATTCGTTTCTAACAGCGGGAAAATTCCCACCCGCATTAGACATAATGCGAGACGGCCCTGCTTCTAGTCGAAAGCAATCGAAGGTAGTCGAAGTCGTCCGAGGACAGTGGAAAATAGTGGGATGTTTCCCCTCTTTCGGTTCTGACCATCCCTCAGTCCCCACCATCGACGCGCATCCCTTCCTTCACGCCCAGTATCACCATCTCTGTCGCACTGGTGCCGGTTGACGGTTCTCCCAGTCGCTTCCTCCTCCCTCTCTGTTTCTCTACCAGCGGCTATCTCCCTCTCTCTTTCCTTCCGTCTTTGTCCGTCTCTGTCTCTCTTTCTTGCTCGTTCAGCTCGTTCTTAACGTCAAACCACTTAGGGCCGCGGACCTCGGCAGTCAGTCGATCTTTCCTAGCAGCAGCATTCCGACATTTTCCACCTGATCGCGCGCGGGCAGTCCGGCAAACGCCATTTTGTTCGTCACACACGTCTGATCGTCACGTCTCCTCGTTAGAGAGAGGCTCCTCGTGCGTACAAACGTTTGTATGTGCCGCGCACCCTTCCACGCCCCGTCGAACACCTGCGTTATCAAAAACAACAAACGAACGAACGCGAGACGCACTTTGTAACACGGATCGCGTTGTTGTGTGGTGTGCCGGTGGGTTTACATTGGACCGTTCTCGTCAACCGACAGCCACGGCCAATTCGGGAACGGAAAAGGACGCCGGGTGTTGTTTTTCCGTTGAACGAGACCCGCACGGAACACGGAGTGCGTGACCCCGCGTGGTGTTCTCTCTCTCTCATCCTCGACGTTAGTTACTTCCCGTAGCCCACCGTGTAAGGACCACGCAGCGAAACAGATACATGAGAACGTGAGTACGCACTAGATTCTTCCTAGTATACGCGCGCATCTCCGCTGTCCTCTTGTCTATCGCACGTTCCAACGTTAAATCTTGTTTTTTCCTGCCTGCATGGCATCGGCTGCCATGTTAGACCGGCGTCTCTTTCTCCTTCTCCCTCCTTCGCTCCCACCATTTCTCTCTTCCTCTCTTTCTCTCTCTGGCTGCTAACTCTGTTCCCCTTCCTCACACTACGTGTAAATGCGCTCTCTCCCACCGTTGTCTCGCTCTTTCGCTTTTTCTCTCTGTTTCTCTTTCTCGGACGCGCGTGTATGCGAGTGGTGTTTCGACAGGAGCGTTGAGACGAATTTTCCGATTGGGAATTTTAATGATAACAAGGATAACGATGACAGTGCCGGTGAGAAACGACGAGGACGCCGCCTGTCAACCGACCTCTCGCCTTCTTCATTGACCTGCTGCTCGTGTCTGTGTTTTCGCTGTCGTCGCGTAATTCGCGTCCGTGCATGTGTGAGAGAAAAACACCGAGAGAGAGAGAGAGAGAGAGAAGCAATAGGGGCGAAAGGGATGGAATGAGCATGCTCTCTCGTAGAACAACACGAGTCTAAACGAAACGTCGTGCCCCCGTGATTCTACGCAAGTGTACACGGATGATTTTTCCAATGTTTTTTGCTCCGTCTCGAGAACGATGCTTCTTCGCGGAAGTCGTGCGTCTTTCGAGAGAAGGAACATAACCTAAAAGTTAGAAGGTGTAGGCGCAGTTCTTGACACTTGGTACGTTATAACAGCACGTGTACGCGCGTTCAATGCTCCAAGATAGCGCGTCAAAGTGTAACCAATCAAAGTAACCGGAGTTTTGTTTATTTCGTGTGCTCGTGCAAAAGCGCGGGAAGCGCGGCAATGGGAAGGGAGGGGTTAGACCATGAGGTTTTTAGAGTGTGTCGTTACGATTCGCGGGAAACACGTGTCCGAAAAAAATGTTTCTCTCTACAGAAACAGAAATTGCGCGTTTGTATTGCGAAATTTCGAATCGGAATGACTTCAAAGTGACTCATCATTACGAATCAGATTAAGGAAGGAGCTTTCCATGAATAACGCGACGCGCAGTAATCGAGGACGATAGTTAACTCAACGCGTTATCTTCACGCGGAAATTTTTACTTCTAGGAAAACCTCTAATCAGTTTCGCTACTTTTCGGCGAACCACCACAGCAATTTTCATAATGATATTTTGATATTACGTCGGTGCATACAAGTTTTTTGATTCCCTCGTTTCTTTTTTTGTACCATTCTGCATGACGTAGATTGTCACCGACCAATACCAGTGCGCCTGTTGCGTTCTTGTGAAATGCAATAGAACATAGTGTTTTTTGCGCGCTGGAGAATGATCGCGCGTCGCACTTATCTGTCGATCGTGCGCGACAAAAATTTTTAACCGAGGAAAAATTGAATCGCTGCTGCTGCTCTCCTTTATGAATTGTTTCTAGTGCTATAAACAACTTAGGTGTGATTTTGCTAGTAATATTTCGATTCATGTTGTGTTATCTAAAGCTCGAAGGAAAATTACAAAATCCCGGTGCGTTTTTCACGTGCTCTTTTCCACAGGAACCGTGTGTTATCTCGCTTCGTATCTTACTTCAGTGGTTCCCGTGGACGATGCGTCATAGCGAATTATTAAACACTTCGAAAAAAAGCAACTACTTGACGTCACCACAGACCACCTGTCTTATACGCAATTTTCTCTAACACGTGGATTCGGCGCGTTAGTCGGGCTGGTAATTTATGTCATTGCTGTCGCTGTCGACGGGTTTTTCCAAAAATAAAACACGAATGAGCCGATCGCCGCTCGTGATGCGATCGGAAAATTACCGATTGACATCACACACCGTTGCATCGTTCCATTAAAATCAACGCTATTTTTTTCTCTTTCCGTAGTATTTTTCAGAAATTTTTTGGATTTCTCTTTGCTGCGGGAAAAATAAGGCGTGTATCGATCGAGGAAAAGAAACGCTCGCTTCTGGCGTCGCTTTCGCGATCGTTTCAGACACTCTAAAGAGTTGCAATTACGCAATCGTTCTAGTATCAAACCTGAAATTTTCCGAATGAAAATGCAAACCTCGTTGCACGTTCCTTTCACGCGTGTTCCTTGGGAAATGGGACATCGTTGAAAGCTTTGATCTTGTCGTACACGAGGTTCGCGTGATTTATGGGTTTGGTAAATTCAGCTCTCGTTGGCCATACTTGTCTGAGATAGTGATTAGACTTTGTGTTAGCCTCGAATATTTGTATTTTTTGTTCCTGTTGTTTGTAACAACGTCCTTCCTTTTTCCTGCTGTATTTGTCTCGACCAAAATTATCTCTTTTAGCCGCTTGTTCTTGCCTCGTTTCACTAACGGTTCGTTTGAATATTAAACGAGACACTACGTCAAAAATCGATGGAAAAAATTCCCTTCCGGCGAACGGACGGTGCAACATGTGCGGATGGGGGGGAAAATTGCACCTTGGTGACGATAATTCCGACGAGTGGAGATTAATCAAAAAGAGAGTAGCAGCAACGGCGCGAGAAGAACAAGTCGATCGGTCGATCGAGAAAAATAAGGACGATGTCGAGCAACTCACGCAGCCATGCGGTTCCAGAGCATACCGGCGCGGCGGTGAGCTCGTCACGGTGCGAACGACCTCTCTGTTCTCGCGTATGAAACGATGCTGGAACGACATAAAGAGGGAGATCCCGCGAAAATTCGGCATCGGTTACAGCATCGTCGAGGTCGAGACTGCGAGAAGCGTGCGTTTCGAATACAACTATGACTAACTTTGGGAACACGGTTTTGGAAGTGACATGTAGTTTGAATTATTAATACGTAATTAAAACTCAAATTTTTCACTCGTCTTCAGTAGAGTTTCCCCTTTTTATACCGGATGAGTCATGTAACTTACACGGTTAACTTGTTCAAAAGAGATAAAGAGAACAGTTGAATGGTTTCACAATGGTTATGTTTCTTAGAAAGAAGAGATGAAATTTTCGAATGCTTTGATAACAACAGGTGTACATTAATTGCCAGTAAATGAACCGATAATACAGTAGGAATTTTTGTTGTATGCGTGGGCTATTTGCACGAAACGCGTTTTATTTCCCGCGCGAATAACAAATTGCGTATTTATCGAGGGTTTCTCGAACACCAGCGGAGCGCTACACACGCCTCAGAGCCACGGATTACAACCACCACTACTGCCGATGCAGCGAAGAAAACGCGGTGGGGATAGGAGTCAATATCGAAGATAACCGTGCGAACGTCTTGACTTGGCCCCGTTCAATCTTTTTCCATGCCTTGAAAAATGTGCTTTCTCGGCTGTGTGCGCGCGCGCGCGCGCCCCACGCTCTTCTCTTCCCTTTTTACTAAGCTCGCGCGTATTTCTGTTACGCTCGACGCGTGTAAACGCTCGAAACGCCTGATATTATTCGCTTCGTCTCATTGTTGAAAACAGCTTACCCACTACCGACTAGATAATTAGTTGTATCGTTTCTCTTATCGTTTTTATTCGTCGCCAAAGTATATATGTAGGTACACTCTGTGTTACACTCGGTACTGTGCGCGCGTAAATATTAAACGAAATCACGATATAGTCACAGAAAAGTAGTTGCCTAGGGATTTTCGGTCCTTGGTCGTCGTTCACGCGTAAGAAAACGATTCTATGGGTTTTTGCGTCGCTTTTTCAACATTGTGTACAGAATGGTCCATGACGAAGTTTTTCTTTTACGTATCTGGAATATTGTTGCTCCATTCTCTTCCCTTCCGTACGTGTCTAATTTCAACTTGTGCGAATGATTTAATCGTTATTAAATGTTTTCCTGGTAAATGCTAATAAGTCGTGATGAACATGTTCCCTTGCTTTTCGTTTCTAAGGCTGCTAAGAGTTTGAAGTTGCTTGTTTCTTCGTCGTCTTCTTCTTCTTCTTCTTCTTCTTCTTCTTCAGCAGCGTAGTAGTTTCACATTTACGAGGAAATTTCTGTTTTCGTTGAAACGAAATCGATTAAGAATCGTGCGTCACCGTGACGCTTTGATGCCTTCTTGAAAAGGCTTGCTACCTTCTACATTATGTTTAATTCATCAGTTGTTCATTAACGCGAATTAATTTTATAGGCAGTGTAGCGGTTAAATTTTTAACGAGCTGTTCGTTTAAACTTTTCCTGACCTCTAATTGGACACCATCGAATTTTCGTGATTACACTGGATCTCCGCTTATTCCGATTTTTCTTCTGGAATAAAAAAAAAACAAGAAAAGAATAATCCACCGGCTTTTAAAACCGGTAATTAACGTGTAAACACCTTAGTCATTGGCGACGTGTCATCTTTCTCAATGCAATTACTTTAACGATATTAATAATTCGTCAAGGATTAAGTATATAGACTGATATAGTTGTTAGATAGTTACCAGAGGGTTGCTACCGTTGAAAATTCTAATTGACATACCAGATAAATCGTCGGTTTTATCGGAAGGCTATAAAATACGAGAGATGATGAAATGTAGCAAACTAGATCGAATTTTAAAACACAAGCCACTGTCTATCGTCGAGTTCGCTTTCTCTCCCTTGCGGTGCGCGTCTGGGCAAAAACTTCAAATTCCGCGAGCGGGATAACGCCGCGGGCGAAATTGCCGGTATGATTAATACCGACGAAGGCAAAACTAACGTTGGCGTGGCCACCTATGGAAAAGTCGATAACTAACAAAAAATAGGCATCAGTGGAATTAAGAGAAATTCCGCGAGCCGTCCGTCAATTTATGTACGCGAGAAAGTTACTAGCGCGAGTGCCCAATGCCTCTAACGCTTTTTTCGCCATCGCGAAACCTCCGGAACGGTTTTCAATTTATTTCATGGATTTCTCTGTGACTCGTTTAGAAGTGTCATCGTGGGAATAGCTACGCGAAACAATTGTACAAATTTATCCTATTTCGTATATAATGTAACAAAGGAGGATTTTTTAAACGTTCTTATTACATCGTGCAGTGAACAGT